ACAGAGTACCCAGGGCCCATCATTCAACACCAGATTTGTAGATGAAGCGGCATTTTGATTACTGACTGTTAGAAACTGGCTCTGCTGCAGTGTTACAGCTTTAATGTCACTGAAGAGTTCTTATTTCTGCTCCACCAGCTGCAGGATGATACAGAAAGGAAAGGAGGGATTGTGGACTCCTTAACAAAGGTGATCTCTACTAACCTACCTAGAAGAAAAGCAAGCGTGTCTGTTAGCCTCAACCCTATTGAGATTTTTCTCTAATGATATAATTGTTGTTTCCTTTAATTGACTCTCACATAATTTGATCCTGCTCTATGATAGGTCTCTTTTATCTCTACTGGTTTTAAATGACTAAATTAATGCCTTTGAGAAGGAAACTCAGTGACTCTTATTGAACTTTAAAACTTTAAAGCAATTTAATAAACATTGAACAGGGGCCAGCTGAGTGGTGCGTTGGTTAAGAGCTGGCTTGGGGTGCCAGCTCTGAGCAGCGGGGCCTGGTTTGGATCCCACATATGAGGGCCAGTGACACTGCCCTCTACAGCTAAGATGCTGAACAACAGCTCGACCTGGAGCTGGGCTGCCATGAGTCGCTGGGGACGGCGTAGGCTGCAGTGGGGCTGCAGTGGGCTGCCATAAGCTATTGTGTGTGGCCGGCAGCCAGCGTAAGTAGCTGGCAGCCGGTGTGAGCTGCCAAGAGCTGCTGTGAGCTGCCGTCCAGAGGCCGGCGACCGATCTGCCTCACCCGGGGAGAGCGCAATGATGGTACCAGCATGGGCTGGTGGGGCAGCATCCTCCACAACTAGACTGAAGAACAAAAGGACAGCAACTTGTCTGTTCCGCTTCCCCTGATTCCCCAGCTCTGTTCCCATCCCCCAATTCCCCAATAAAATATTTTTAAAAATAAGTAAATAAATAAACATTGAATATTTAAAAATTTTGATCTACTGGGTTGCCGGAAAAGTCATGACGCATTTTTGCAACGAAAAATATAGAAAAAATACATCATGACTTTTCTAACAACCCAATAGAATTCTTTAATGGGCCAAGATATTGTTACAAGCATCTTATAACAAGGTAATAATGATTACATTACTTTGAAATTCTGTCCTAAATGTGGCCTTTGCCTAGTTGTTATTCCTACTTTTAATTATTAAAGTAAAACGGTGGTTAAAATTCTTGAGAGAATCAAAGTACATGGGTGTAACAACACATAGGTAACAAAAAATAGAAACCTTGAATATATTTCCTTTGAAAGGTCCTTGTATGTGAAAGTGTTGGCAAGAATATAGAGCAAACAGAATTCTCATATGCTATTGGTTGGAAAGTAAAATGGTACAATCAATCACTCTGGAAAAGCGTTTGTCAGTTTCTTAAAAAGCTAAATGTAGAAGAGACAAAACAAAGGTTCAGAACCAGGCTCAGATATGACACCAATTTTGGAATGATCAGATAGGGAATTTATAATAACTATGATTAATATGTTAAGGGCTCTAATGGAAAAGGAGACAACATGCAAGAACAGATAGATAATGTAAGTAGAAAGAGGGAAAAAAATCAAAAGGAAATGCTAGAAATTAAAACCCTGTAACAGGAAAGAAAGAAGCTTCTGATGGGTTCATCAGTCGACTAGGTACAGCCAAAGAAAGAATCAGTGAGTGACCTTTATGATATGTCCATAGAAACTTCCCAAATTGAAATGCAAGGAGAAAAAATAATGAAGAAAACAAACACAGCATATCCAAGAACTATGAGATAATTTCGAAAGGGGTAACTTTAACATCCCTCTCTGTTTCATTGGCCATAGTTGAGTCACATGGCTAGCTTTAGCTGCAAAAGGGTCTGGGAAGGCAAGTGTTTGTTCTCTAGCCTGGATAGCACAGAAGAGAAAGCAATAGAATTAGATTGGGTGTTGAAGGAGCAAACCTACAGCATCTACCCCCAGCACAATTAGAGTTAAGTAGCCTAAGTAACTCATTGCAAAGCTTTAAGAGCAGAAAGGATACAAATTTACTGTGAAAACCATAAAGTGCCAAAAAAAAAAGAGAAAAGAAAATCATGTTAAATCATGTTGCTATTTGCTTCCCACTGCTTCAGAAGGCCTAATCAGACCAGAGTTTGTAATCCCCTCATTTTAATGCCAGAGCCATTATAGCACCATAATAAAATTCTTAACTAATGGGATTTTGCTATGTTAATATGCAAAAGAGTAAAATGAGGATTTGTAAACACCATGGGCTGTCTCAGGTCTATTCCAACTGTTGAGCTCATCAGCCTAGAGGCGGAAGAATTCCTACATACCATGGCTGAACCCCACAGGAAGCACTTCTCATTAGTGATAAGGTATTAGCAGAATTCCTGGGCAAGTACTTGTCAGGTCGCCCTGGGAGGTCAGGAGTCCCCAGATCAGCAGGTGGATTGAACCATGATAGCAGTAGGTACGTGAACATAGAGAAGAGGCTCAAGTCAAGCTTTCACACGGGCCTTTCTTAACCGTCCAATCTAAGGCGCCCCTTCACCCAGTCCTGCTCTTTCCCATTATCACATTGTATTTCCTGAAACGCTACTGAAATTATTTGTTTATTGTCCATCTCCTCCGCACCTCTGAAAACTTAATTCCGTAAGAGGAGGGAACTTTTGAGTCTTTATTTACAGCTGTAAATCTAGAATCCTAAACAGTGTTTGTCCCATGATAGATGTTCTAAATGAACCTTGTGAATACCTTTTTATCCATTTACATTATTAAGCTGAAAGCTTAACCCTTTTACCACGTATTATACCATATACCATATGTTATTGCTTTAATATCATAGAGATCACTTTGTACCTACATTTTGCTCTGTCTTTTAAACATCTTTACCAAAAACAATAATTTGGCTTAAGTCCTGGGAATGGATATGAGGGAAATATTTGTGAACTGTTGAACTGTGTGTAAAAGAAAATTAGATTCTAGAGAAATAATCTTCTAGGCATGTTTGATCCATATTAAAGGTAGTATTTTAGGTGTAGAATACACTATCTTTTTAATACCAAATGACAAAGGTGTTGGTTTGATTCTTAAAGTCATATCTAACTAATGCTATTTTTTCTCACTGACCCCCACCCCCATTTTTTTAAACTAATGCTTTTTAAACTGATATATTTCTGGTCTGTTTTGTAGGATTTTTCTTTGAATACGTTTATATATTTAAATCACAAAAAGTCACTTCACTGTATCAATTGTGGAGGATGTGCATACTTAAAGTCTGATGAGAAACACAACAACTCTTAAAGCAGTTTCTGCAACCAACCTTGCCATTGCCACACACTCCCAGCTTCAGTATTACTGAGTTTTTCTTCTCTTTTCTTTTCTATACAGCTATTTTGAGATGTGTGTCTTCACTATAATCTCCATTTTGCGATGTGTGTCTTCACTATAATCTCCTATTAGCAAACATCTTCAAGGTCATTGGGTTCTGGCATTTAGGTTGGTCTTTAGCTGAGATGGTCTAATACTATGGAGACAGACCCACTTACAAAACACATGAGGTATCCACTAGAGGGCAGCAAAGTGCAAACCAAATTTGTGCCCCCAGAAAGGCTGACGCTATCACAAAAAATTTATATTGCAAATAAGCTTTTTTAAATGCAAAAAATTCAAATTAGTTCAGTGATGTAAAATAATTTATGTGCAAATGTTTCTCTCTCTCTGTCTTTCTCTTTTTTTGGAAGTAGTGGTCCAAGGTTGAAGAGGAAAATAACAATTGGTTCTAGTCTCAGCTCTTTTACTAATTGTGATTTGGGGCAAGCTGCAGTTTGCCTCTCTGGTCCTTTTCTATGACACATAGATTTGCACAAAATGATTGTTAATCTTCTTCGAACGTTAAAATTCCATGGTTTTGTGATTTATGGTCCTATTTCAGTCATTTTTAAATAATGTTGATTAGGCTCTTACATTATTTGACCAACCGTAACCTGATGTTAGTGGAGATCTGTTTGGAAATACCCACCATTTATTTCATGGAAAATGTATGTCCCTGAAATGCATTGATTTACCTTCTTAATAAAATTACACTCCTACTTGTATGTAATCTAGTGATAATAGTGATTGTAATGTTTTCTGGAATAAGATTTTAGTATTTAAGCCATCAAAGTGATCTGTTTTTATTTAAAAAAACAACAACAGAAAAATAAAACCCAATAACTTTGTATATATCAAGTTGTTTTGAGGAATGTGAGGTGACCGCAGCCTCAGAGTCCACCATTTCAGATATAAGCTGCATTGTCACAGTAGTGAGATGAGCCCTTCAGGCACTGTGGTTATTACGTATAGAGAGCAAGTATGACACTTACGGCCTGGGTGCAAATCCCAACCCTGCTACTTATTCTGTGCCTCAGTATCCTCATCTGAAAAATGAGATCGCGTTGCCAACTTAAGGGTGGTTTTAAGCATTACAAGCTAAAACTTGTAAAACTATTAGAATTATTTAAGCTTAAAATACTGAAATGGTTTAAATGTCTACATTGCTTTTCCAACAAGACGTAGTCAGGAGTATCACCCTGGAGTTCTTACTAATAATTCACTGTTGATCTTGGAAAAGTCACTTCACCTCTCTTGGACTCATTTTCTTATCCAGGATCTTAAGCAATACTCCAAAAGTAATCAATGCTCTAAGATGGTCTCAGTGGATGTTGTGGAATGAACAAACTTCAAAACGAGGAGACTGGCACAAGTAGATTGCCAAGACACCCTCTAGTTTTAGTACTTCATTATCTCCCAACCCGACTGTAGGGAACGAACGAAATGGAATTGGCTATCTACACTGGGAAACTCTACTGCAGAACACCAACCATACCATCTGCTGTAAGAATTTTGAAGGTGTCTACACAAAATATCACACCCTTTTCTGTGTTAATTCAGTATCATCGCTGCCAATATTGGACTGACACAAAAGCCTCAGTAGAAGAATAAATACACTTTTATTTTGTATAAAGCTGCTGTCAGTGCCCCCAGCTGGCAGACCTGTGTGCCCTCAGAGCAGCAGGAGGGAGCCCAGCAGCAGCTCGCCCCGGCCCAGCAGGCGGCCCCGCTCCAAGCCGCGGCCCTTGTTCTCGGCCTTGACGCGCACCGCCAGGCAGCGCACCTCGTCCTCCGAGAGCCCGTCGAAGCAAAAGTCCTGGTCGAAGACCGCCTTGCAGCTCCGGCGGACCACCGCGCTGCGCCTCTGGTGCGTCTTGCCCGGCGGCTGCAGGACAAAGCTCACGCGGCAGCCGACGGCGGGGAACTCAGCAGCTCCTTCAGCCGGGCCCTCGGCGCGGAGCAGCCGGATGCGGAGGCGGCCGCTCCGTCGACTGTACTCGGCGGCCAGGCGCAGGGCGCCGCCGGCGCGGCCCAGAGTCACTGTGCCCTCGGCCTCTAGGCGCTCGGGCTGCGGGCCTGGGGGCGGAGGAGGGGACGCGGAGGGGTCCCGGGCCGGGGACCCGGAGCCCCCGCCGTGCTCCTCGTCCTCGTCGCCGCTGGACACGGAGCGGGCGCGGGCCAAGCCACGACTCCTCCGGGCCCGCAGCGCGCGGCTCAGCAGCACTTCAGGGGCGCGCAGGAGGCGGCGGCCGCGGGACCTCAGGGCAAGAGTGTTCCAGGGCGGGCGAGGGCTGCCGGGGTCCACAGGGGCGGCGGCGGCGGAAGCTCCGCCCGGGGGCACAATGCGGGTGTTTCCTCCACCGTGGTACGTATGGGACCGAGTGAGGAGCGTGGGCTTGAAGGCGGGTGGTTGCAGGAGCGCAGAGGCGCCGGGGTCCCCAAGGAAAAGGGACTCCTTGCGGCGGGTGTGCGGACTCTCCAGCAACGCGCAGAAGCCATAGGCGGTGCGCACGCGGGGCAGGTGCGGCAGCGAGAGCGCGGCCTGCGAGCGCGGGTCCCAGTCCGTGCGCCCGGCACCGTCGTCTGTCCCTCCTTCTTTGCCCCAGGAGTCTCTGAGTGCAGCCAGAGCCCTGCAGGGCGCGAGTCGCGGGGGAATGCAGAACTCAGGGATGCGGTCTGGGGTGAGCACGTTTGCACACGCGACGGGCTTGGTGGCAGTGGTTCGGCGGGCCTGACCCTGGAGACGCCGGTTCCTGCCCCGCAGGAGGCGCTGGGGATCCAAGCAGAGCCGCTCCAGGCACCACATCAAGAGGCAGGTGACGGATCTGCTGGAGCTGGGCAGCCTGCAATGCACAAGCGCACACTGATCGTCAGAGAGAGCCTTGCAGGACGTATCCATTCCTGTCTCGTTCTACTTTTGGGGTGCTTTCTCCTGCCTCCCCTGGGACAAGACAATCTCCCCCCTCACGCTGCTATTGCAAACTGTGTTTCCGAGATTGAAAACCAATCGTTCTTCTTTTGTCCTGTCTTTATTCTGTTGTCGTGTATACTTTGGGGTTTATTGCTTTAATCTCGATCCGCCCTCGCTGGCCTAAGGCGGAGACTCTCAAAACGTTGGCCTCGCGTGCTGTCCCGATGCCAACAGGCGCTTGTGCAATTATTTTCTGAATCCTTGGATTATTGCACCCTAGTCCTCAGAGAAAATTAAAAGATCCCATCCCAGACATTCTTCTTAGTCTCTCTTTTTTGGGATTAAGAGCCTCAGACAAGTCCCCGGGAGAATTAAGCAAGGCAATGTGGCTCACCTAATGTACCTGAGGTCCAGCGTCAGATGGGTCTCGGAACCGTTCTGCCTGGAGCCGGGAGCGGGAAGAGCGCGCGGCCTCCACGAAGTTGAAAGTGCGCGCCGCACAGTTCAGTACAGGGGTCCAGCGACAGCCGGCCTGAGCCTTTATACCTGGCCCTGGAACGCCTACCAATGAGCTGGTAGAGCCACGCTGTCTAGTAACCTGACTCCGGGCCTTTCTCTCTCCCTCCCCCGCGTTCCCTCTGCCACGTGGCTGGATCTGCAGCGCAAATTCAAGAGATCCAGTTATTTTTCTCTCCTGTTTGTAGTGGGCATGTTGTCCTCGGAAACGCTGAACAAGTTTCTACTTCCTCACGTGCAAAAGAGGGTTAAATCTTGACTATGTCGCAGAATCATTGTGAGGATAGATGGCCATAATGAATGTGAATGCACAGCATTCTACACCCACCACTAAAAGAAGATAAAAGTCGGGTTTGTGTGTTTGTCTTATTTTTACCTAATACGCTCTCCCGAATCCAGCCTTCCCATTGCCCAGCCAGCTTTCGACATTCCTTAACCTGTTTCTGGTTACTGCTCTGATTTTAAAGGCTTTCTTGTTTGTTTGTTTGTTTGTTTGTTTGTTTTTATGAGGTGCTGGAAATATTCTATATCTTGATCTCGGTTACAGGGGGGTATACGTAAGTGAAAAAATCATGTAGCATATACTTAAGATTACATGTAAGATGGTATGTATCTTATAATTCTCTTTAATAAAAAAATCACAAACCACTTCTTAAGCCATGTGTGCTCATTTTTAATTGGGAAAATATACTTTTGAATACAGCTGGGCTGCAGAATCATCCTTTGGAGGCACCCTGAGCACATCTGGCCTTCCTAGGCTGTGCCCACCTGAGAGACCCTTTTTCCTCCTTTTGAAACTGACCTGTGTTCATTCTGTAAGAGAGCTGCTTCTAGCTATCTCAGGTTGAAAGAGATCTGAGGCATTTTGTTTAGCGTTTGGGTGTATGCTATTTCTGCCTAAGATATTGCCTTGCAAATTAATTGCTTCTCCAAATAATGTTTAATAAATTGAATTCATGCAAAAGTGATTTTAGGATGGGATATGTGCATTTTCTTTCCAGGGTATACATACTACGCAGGCACTGTGCTTGATGATTTGCATACAGTCTCTAGAATTGTCACATAAATGCTACAAATTATGATTACTCTTAATAATGTATCCAAGTTCACAGTGATGGGAAATGGAGGAAATAATACTTTCTAATAGGCACAAATGAGTTGTTTTAGGGATTAAATGAATTTAATAATGTAAAATACTTAGCACTGTGCTTAGAACATGGTAAGTGCTAAATATGTAGAAGCAGTGATCATTATTATCATCAAAAATAGATAAAATAGAAGGGAGATTGTAGAATGTAGTGATTAAGAAAATTGGGTCTGAAATTAGACGTTTTTGATTCTAGAATCCTGGCTCCCTATGTGACCTTGAGCAAGTTACTTAACCTTTCTAAACCACACTATGAAATGTAAAATTAGGAGGTGAGACCTTTGGGAGGTAATGGGATTAGTGACCTTATAAGAGGCACACCATTATCATAATAGTATCTACTATTGGGTTGTTTGAGTATATAATAAGATAATGCATATGAAGAGTTTAGCATAGAGCCCAACATACACAATGTCAGATATTCTATTAACTGTTATTGCAGAAGAGAGCAAATGTTCATTAATTCATTAATTCATTCAAAGCAATACTTACTGAATGCTTCCTGGGTTCCAGCCACTATACTAGGCAGGTGGACCCAGGCTGTACAAGATCATATCAGCTATGTACATCTGTCAGGAGAGGAATGAAATGATGCGGATGAAATATTTGAATTCCATATGACTAAGTCAAGAGTAAGAAGACAGCATTGAACACGATATACAAATGCGGACAATTAAGTTCGTGAACTTGTTGTAATGATGTTGCTAACCTTTTTTGATATCAGAGGGATTATACATTATGAATTTGTACTAACTGGACAAACAGTTAACGAAGTTTACTATTTGGAAGTGCTGAAAAGGCTGCGTGAAAAAATCAGACGAAAACGACCTGAACTTTTTGCCAACAATTCATGGCTCTTGCATCACAACAATGCACCAGCTCACATAGCACTGTCTGCGAGGAAGTTTTTAGCCAGTGAACAAATAACTGTATTGGAACACCCTCCCTACTCACCATATCTGGCTCCCGATGACTTCTTTCTTTACCCAAAGATAAAGAAAATATTGAAAGGAAGACATTTTGATGACATTCATCACATCAAGGGTAATAACGACGACAGCTCCCATGGCCATTCCAGAAAATGAGTTCCAAAATTGCTTTGAAGGGTGGACTAGGTGCTGGCATCAGTGCTTAGCTTCCCAAGGGGAGTACTTTGAAGGTGAAGGTAGTGATATTCATCAATGAGATGTGTAGCACTTTTTCTAGGATGAGTTTGTGAACTTAATTGCCAGACCTGGTAGTCTGGGGAGCAGGGTTCGTGGGTCCCAGGGTTTACCATGACCTTAACTAGCTACTTCTTTGTTTTTATATCATCTCCACTCCTGGAAAAATTCCTGGGCCAGTGTTATGTTAAATCTATGGGAGAATAATAACCAGTTATATACTCAAGGGTCGTGTGCATGTTTTGACTCAACTTTCCTCAGGAGACAAGATGCTGTTAGCATTGTAAGTGAGAGCCCAGAGAGCCCTTGGTTAAAATGGTGAGGCTCACAATCTGAGAAGCTAGCTGAAAAGTTGTTAAGCACAGTTATGTTGTGGTGGGGAAAAGAAAAAAAGCACCAGGGCATGAGAAATGATGTAGGGGTGAAGAAATATGTCCTTTGGAGTGAATCTGTCCTAGGTTCAAATCTGTTATGCAACATTTTAGCTGTGGGATGTGAGCAAGTTAAATTAACCTCTTTGAGTCCATGTTGTATTGTATAATAGAGGTAATAATATAATACCTACCACATGAGATTACTGTGAGGGTTAAAAAATGCATGAAATGCTTCTCACACAGTAAGTGCTGGCTAACAGCTGTTATTATACAGGTTTGCTTGGTCAGATTCGCTGATTCACACATGGATTCCTTTAAAAACAATTCTCTTACTGGCCAAGCAAAGCAGATTTGCTTTGTTTTTGTTAACAACTCACCTTCTTCAATAACACTTTAGAAGCATTTCCTGTATAAGGTTTCTTGAAAACAGCAGAGATGTGTCCTCACGTGGCTGTTCCCCTGTGACCACATTAAGCCTTATGTTTAACTTATTTTGGAGGCACAAACCATGCAGTATTTGGGAGGATGGCGTAACAGGGTGAGGCCCTATGCCTGGAACACAAATCTACTCAGAGAAAGTCTCACAGGTATAGCCATGGGAACATCTAGTAATGATAGTGGCAAACAATTCTGTGAAATAAGCATAAATAGATCACACACCATCGAGGCAAGTGGTGCTCTTGGAGTAGAAGGAAACTGAACAATTTAAAGCAGAGTTAAACAATAATATATAGAAGGCTGGGTGTCAAGGAAAACGAGAACTTACAACCAAATAAAATACTGATGTTCTGACTTATCCATCTCATTCAACAAAACTAGAGTATGGAGTACTGGCAAGAACAGGGACCAGGGAGTCAGGACACTTGGGTTTTAGCTCTAAATTCACTAACTTGTTGTGGGACTTTGGTAAATCCCTTAAGCCTCTCTTGCACTCAGGGTCTCCATCTGTCAAATAAGAAGGTTGGGTTAACTAGATGTTTGTTTTCTTCTGGTTCGAACATTCTACAGTCTACGTCTGTGCTTCCTTCCAGTTACACTTGCTAACTTTTCTGACAGTCTATGGTATTACCTTTATTCTCCAGTGTTCTCTATTTCCTTCCCCCTCACCCCCGAAATCCTGTTTGCTTTTCTCAACAAACTCCAGGGTTGGATAATGGGATGTGGGTATGGGGTAGTGTGAAGGTATAATTTCTTATTTTTCAATTTTTAGGAGTTATTTTTTTAAGTGTCAGTAATTTTGACCTTCGTTTTTAACAGAAGAAATGTTTTACTCATCCATGTTTATTGCTCAACCTCTCACTGCAGTTTAGCTTTACAGTTGCCTTTGTTGTCCTTCTCATTGATCAGAGCCGGAATTAATCTAAGAATTGTAATTATTAGAATGTTCAGTTTCTTTAGATAATCTCTGTATCCAAATTCCGTTTGGTATTGTGCTATACATTTGAGTGATAGTGGTGTTTCTTGACATTAGTTATGGTTTGTTTTGGATTAGCACTGTAAATTTCTTCTTCAAGAAGTATGGAAAATTTGGGGCATTACTGTGTGCACATAATAATCCCTCAAAACTTAAAGAGGAAAATATTAAAATTTAAAAGCTTTTAATACTGTATGGCAATAGCATTATTTATACTAACAATTTTGAACCGAATTTTCCACCCTGAGATTTTCTATTTTGTCATTAACTTTTCTTTCAAAGTAAGAAGTATTATTAGCCTAGTGGTGACTTAACTGTAATTATTGAAAGAGAAAAGGGTGGCAGTGCTCAGGGAGCTGGAGGAAAATAATACATGCTGTGTAATTTTGGGTAAATCACTTAATATTCCTATAAAATGGGGACAGTACTACCTGCATTACTTATCTCACAGATCTTTTGTGAGGATTACATGAAAATGCATACCTTGGCATAATAATGGCATGATGGCTCATGGAGTATAATTGAAAAAATATTACTAAAATGGAATAATGCATATAAAAGCACCCATATGAATTATTCTTTGAAAAGTATAAATTACCATAGAAGTACAAGGAATTATTACAGGATTATTATTGCCCACTTCTCCAACCAGACTACATCTCTGTTCCATTTGCTTGACCATTCTATTCTTCCTGTGGCACCTTTCATATCATGTTGCACTGTTATTCATATATCCTTGCATTGTTCGTTTCTAAACTTTTTATGGTATGAGACTGTCCCAACCAGAACTTAATATAGTTTTTTTTTGCATTCCCCTCAGTGCTAGTTGGTGAGAGTGTACAAGGAGAGAGGGACTGTTGGAGGTGGACTACAAACAACTTGGGGACAGATTGAGGAAGGCGTTCTGAAAACTGGGAAGTTATTGGGTGGTTTTTTATTTTTTAAAGATTTTTCTTGGGGAATTGGGGGATGGGAACAGTACTGCGGAGTTGGGGGAAGGGGAACAGACAAGTTGCTGTCGTTTTGTTCTTCAGTCTAGTTGTGGAGGACATTGCTTCACTGGCCCAAGTTGGCACCATCATTGCGCTCTTCCCAGGCGAGGCAGATCAGTCGCCGGCTTCTGGATGGCCCCTCACTGCGGCTGCTGGCACTCACTGCGGCTGCTGGCTACACAGGGTAGCCCCTGGCAACCCACTGCAGCAGGGGCTGCAGCCTACACTGGGGGCTGCAGCCTACACCGTAGCTGGTGACTCACAGCAGCCCAGCTCCAGGTTGAGCTGTTGTTCAGCATCTTAGCTGTAGAGGGCAGTGTCACTGGCCCTCATATGTGGGATCTGAACCGGGGCCCTCTGGCGTCCCAAGCCAGCTCTTAACCAACGCGCCACTCGGCCGGCCCCTATTGGGTGTTTTTGAGCAGTTGTTTAACCTGAGCTCACCTGTGCTTTGGGAACATAGTTTCGGTGGGAGTGTGCAGATGGATGGAGAAGGGAGAAACTGAAGGCCAGGAGGCCAGTTAGAAGGTGATTGCATGGTCCAGGTGAGACATAAAGAGAATTTAGGAAATATGGCAAAAGCAGAACTGATAGGCTTAGCTGTTAATTGGTTGTGGATGGTGAAGAAAAGAAGTGCAAATTACCTCTAGGTATTTTGTCAGTATGATTGAGCTAGCAAAAACAAATGGTTAAGGATTATATTCTCTGTGTGCCGGAGTGGAGGTGGATATTGATAGTACTGGTGGAAAGAAGGTGGATATTGATAGTACTGGTTAGTATTGGTTCTTTTACATCCATTTTACACAACACTCATTATAGACATTTTAACTTTTTTTCCTTCTCCAGTGGACTTTGAATTTAAGAAATTATTTTTCTTATTGATCCTTAATCCTTGCAGGCTGTTGTAACAAAATACCATAGAGTAGGTGGTTTAAACAGTGCAAATTTCTCTCTCAGTTCTGGAGGCTGCGAGGTCCAAGGTAAAGGTGCCACCCAATTCAGTGTTTCCTGAGGGCCTGCTTCCTGGTTCAGTCTTCTGAAGATATCTGCACATGGTGGAAGGGGGAGGGAGCTCTCTGGGGTCCTTTTTATTAGAGTACCTCCCATCCATGAAGGCTCTGCCCAATTACCTAATTACCTCCCCAAGCCCCACCTCCTAACACCATCCATCACCTTAGCGTTAGGATTCAACATATGAACTTTGGGAAACACATTCAGTCTAACAATTGTTTAAAAACAATTCAGTTTTTCAGATGTAATATGTAGCAAAGCATTTAATAAATGCATGGGGCTACATTACGTTTCTTAGGTTTGTTTTTTGTATCTCAACAGCTTTTTGAAATATGTTTTAGAAAAAGAAAAGTCCAGTTCTCTAAAGAGAATTGGTTTCTCAACGGGTAATTATATTTCACTAACATAGAAAGTCCTTGAATTATAAAAACCCTGCTGTCAACATCTTGCTATATCCAAGTTGAAGGATAGCATGGAAGAAAGTAATGTACAAATAACTGGTAACCCACATGTAAACTAAAAAAAGGAAGTACAACGTTTTGTTCTTTATTTCCGTAGTGAGATAGTTTAATAAGTGGCTGAGTTAATTATGGGTGAAATCAAACAATAAGTAATAAAAGAATGACTTAAGAACAAAATGCATATTCAGTTCCCATACTATGTGCCATTTTATGATGCGGTTCTGTTCCCTAGTTTCCCACTTTTAAATTATTAAAGTGTTTTCAGAAAGCAAAAAGCAGAGACCTTGCCCTAGGCAGAGTTGATAAATATCCCAACAAAGGTCCAGAGCCTCCAATTCCCCACCTGAAGGGGTGGTTGCTTTGCAGGTGCTCAGTATGGACTCCAGGTCTGGGAAGCTCAGCGCCCCTCAGGTCGGCTCCTCGCGAGGCGACGCGAGCTTTCTCCCGAGATGGTTGAGCTCTGAGCACCCGCGATCAATAGAAGGCGACAGCTGGCAAGCCGAGCGGCCACAAACATGTCCCTGTGCTCGGCAACTCCTAACCTCCTTTTCTCTAATATCCTTTTCCTTTGGTGCAGGCCGCTCGGTACCACCCAAAGCTAGCTTTCCCGCCGCTCCTCACTCCCTCGCCTGCGGCCGTCACGAAACAGCAAGGCTGCAGTTGGGACCACGCACCTCCGTCCCGGGCGGCGGCGCGCCTGCGCACAGGTCGGGTCACGCGCGCGGCGCAGGGGCGGGCCGGCCGGCGCCGGAGGGGCTGTCATTCTCGGCGCGGGTCGCCGCCCTCAGCTGCGCCCGGCGGTTCCGGCTCCTCCCTCTCCCGCCGGCTCAGCTCCACCATGGTGCTGGAGTCGGTGGTCGCGGACCTGCTGAACCGTTTCCTGGGGGACTATGTAGAGAACCTGAACAAGTCCCAGCTGAAGCTGGGCATTTGGGGCGGTAAGCGTGAGGGCGCGGCCGGCGGGTTGCCGGCGCTGGCCGAGGGGCGCCTGCCGCTGGCTCCCCGCCCCGGCTCCAGCCGGGGCCCTGCTCCCTTTGCCTCACGAGACTCCGCCTCTGGGAAGGGCGTCGGCGGGGGCCCCTTCCGTGGGCGGCAGGTGCGGGGCGCTGGGAGGCCTGTGCCCGCCTCCGCCTCCTCTAGGTCCGGGGGACCGGCCCTGAGACCCAAGCCCCTGCCCCACCCTACCTACCTTCGGGTGGGGGTGGGGGTGGGGTCGTCTCGCTGCCCTCAGTGTGGCCCCTTTGGTTCCACTGCATAAAAATACCCTTCCTGCTCCCGCACCGCGTGGAGTGGGGATGGCTGCGTGGTCACACACGCTCAGATAAAGTGGCACCAAGGAAAAAGAAACGAATTGCGTTTCGCAGTTATCTTCTCTGGCCTGTGACCAGGGGCTGGCTTCCTTCCCTAGGATTGCAGGATTTGGGAAGGGGATGGGCGGGGAAGATCATTGCGAAAGGCGTGTGGATACGAGTCCTTACTCCTAATACTTCGGAGAAAGGGATTTCTTCCTTTCATATTGACTTTTCCCTCAATAAGAAGACTTTCAGTTTTGTTTTGGAGCGATAGGAAGGAATTCAAGCTAAGACCAGCATCATCATTAATTAGGTGCATGCCCAAGAATTGATGCCAACGTTTCTAACATCCTAGGGGTTAAGTGTATCGAAGGAGGCAGTAAGTTATGCTTGCATACTCTTTGAAAAGCTCAATGATTTTCACCACGCGTTAAGCTTTGGGGGCACTGAGGGTACTTTCTAACTACAAAAGACTTAGGAATTTTGGCAGGTTTGGAGGGAAATCCAAAGAATTACTCAGATGGATGGAACTGCTTTTAATTCAGTCAAAAGGTCGTTTATAGACCCGCGCTGTCCAATAGAGTAGCCACTAGTCACTGTGGCTATTGGGCACTCGAAATGTGGTTAGTGGGAACAGAGGCTGCTGTAAGTATAAAATACACACCGAGTTTTGACAGTACTCAGTAGGAGAGAGTAATATCTCAAAATTTTTAATGTTGATTATATGTTGAAATAGTATTTGATTATAATGAGTTAAATTCAATATATTATTAAAATTTAGTCCACGTTTCTTTTTACTTTTTAAAAAAAACCTAAAATGTATAGTTGACCCTTCAACGTGTTTGAATTAGGTGGATCCATTTATATGATGATTTTTTTTTTTTTTTTAGTAGAGGGCAGTATCACTGGCCCTCACATGTGGGATCCGAACCGGGGCCCTCTGGCATCCCAAGCCAGCTCTCAACCATCGCGCCACTTGGCCAGCCCATATATGATGATTTTTTTGAACCTGCCCAGTTCAAGGCTCAACTGTAATTACATATGTGAACCATATATTTATATTGGTCAGTGTTGTTAATAGAACCATAGATGGTGGTCTAAATTGTGGCAGAGGCTGCTTTTTATAAGTTACTGATCACTTGATTGATTTAGTTTGGTTTGCCCAACAGTACATCCTTTGTATAACACCCCTCCCCCCCAGCACTAAGTTTAATGAAAGAGAAAGAAGTAAAGAAGGAGACTAAATTTAAGGAGTGAAATGTCCAGTGCCTTCTGAAGGGATCAAGTGTTTCTTTAAAGTACTGTCTAATAATACAAGTTATTCCTTCTAGTTTGTAAACATTTGAAATCTGAAAGGGCACTAGCCTAGCATTTAGGAAACCTGGGTTCTAGGTTACTATGTTGGACAAGCCATTTACCTTCTTGGGCCTTAGTTTCTTCATCTTAATTTACACTTGAGTAGAAAAAATTATAAAAGATAACATAATATTCCTATTGAGTAGTGATCACTACTCAAAATCACTTACCCAAGTTATAATATTGTGCCCTATTTACTGCAGACATTTTTTTAAAATAAAGTTTGTGGAAAAGAATGGAAGATTCCTTCCATTCCAAATCTTATTTTCCTTTTTCTTTAAAATTAGGGGATGGAGTTGGTGACATCGCAGCGTCCTTCCAGTGCCAATACTCTGTGATTCTAATGTAAATGTTTTTCACTGTGAAAATTTGAAGTATACTGCCCGAGGATTTTTAACTTTTTTGCAACTGAAATTAAAACGCCATAATTTTATTTCATTTACTCCTTTCCTTTTTGGCAAAATGTGGGAAAAGAAATTTTCTTTCATCTCATTTTCTTCCTTTCAGAATAAGGTATTCTGCCTTCAGAATACATCAACCTTGTAAAGGCCTGAGCAAATAAACTCATTTTTTTTTTTCAGGAATTGTATGCAGTGGAGTCCAGTAGGGAATTCCCCCAGCTTTATCATCCCACTTCTGTAATGTTTTGCTGCTTTTTATTTTTGTAATAGTTATAAAGGAAGCTATAAGTCATGGGCTTTTACAGAATATTCCTTGGAATATTTTATTTATAACACTAATTCCCCCATTAAAATAGAAAGGCAAGATATATAAGTTGACTATTTCTATTCTTTGAAAATATTCTTGAAGAAATTTAAACTTTTTATGGTAAATAAGTGGGAATATTAAGATAGTTTAATAAAATAGCTGATATTTATAACATCCATGATGTTGGCAAGTTTTATAAAGAATTGAAATTTTTATATAATCTGATTTGAAAACTGTTTGCTTTATTAGATAAGGTTTATATGTCACAGTTTGGCTTTTTCAGTTTTTTTCTTGTGAAATTCTTGCATCTTGAGAAAGGAAGAATTAACCTGTAAAAATTTCACACAGCTGATATTACCATTCTTTGGAAACAAATGGTAAATTAAGTTGATACTCCTTAACTGGAGTATTTGACTAGGCTAACTAAGGCAGTGATTTTCAACCTGGGATGATTTTGCCCCCAAGTTGGGATATTTGGCAATATCTGAAATGTTTCTGATTTTCACATTGAGGGGTGGAGGTGTGCTACTGGTATCTCTAGTGAGTAGACCCCAGGAATATTGCTGCATCTTACAATGCAGAGGACAGCTCCCCACAACAAAGAATTATCCAGCCCAAAATGTTTCTTGAGAAACCCTAGCTAAGGAAAATATTGAGATTGTCTTCTACATTTATAGGAGAACTTCAGGATGCTGAACAAGTTGTAGAGACAAGTAAAAAAGGACTTAGAGGAAGTGTATGCCTCATGAAATTTATAACTAAGAAACTAAGTGATTGTTAGGGATCATGTCAGAAAAAAGCATCATCTTTCTTTGGATGATATCAGGAGACAGTTTTAAGATTCAAAATGTTGTGTTAACATAATTTGAAATAGACTGTGCTGTACGTACATTCATAAATATTTAGGCATGTGGATTTCACAGTAAACATAGTTGTAGAGTGACAAGGATGGGTAAAGTTATTTGAATGCCTAGAATCAGAAGTGTACTGTGGATATTGCCTGTAAATTGGAGAAGCATTCTTTAAGTCTCTGTCTCCTGATCTGTAAAATAGAGAAATAACACTGTGTGTGTGAGATAAATGATGTGAAAATCCTTTGTAATTTTAGTTGTTAAAATGTTAATACTAAAAGGAATAGTGATGATAAACAGATCTAGCTAAGTAATGGAAAACAGCCTGCTTTGTTTTATTTTCATAAATATGAGATCTGATATTAAGTTTACAAAATCACACTAGAAAAAGTGCTACATACCTCATTGCTGAACATCACTACCGTCACCTTTGAAGCACTCCCCTTGGGGAGCTTTGCACCGATGCCAGCACCTAGTCCACCCTTCAAAGCAATTTTGGAACTCTTTTTCTGGAATGGCCATCAGAAAGCTGTTGTCATATTACCTTTGATGTCCTGAATGTCATCAAAATGTCTTCCTTTCAATATTTTCTTATCTTCTGGTAAAAAAGTCATTGGGGGACAGATCAGGTGAGTAGGGAGGATGTTCCAATACAGTTATTTGTTTACTGGCTAAAAACTCTCTCATGGGCAGTGCCAGTGTGAGCTGGTGCATTGTTGTGATGCAAGAGCCATGAATTGGTGGCGAAAAGTTCAGGTCGTCTAACTTTTTCACGCAGCCTTTTCAACACTGCCAAATAGTAAACTTGGTTAACTGTCCAGTTAGTACAAGTTCATGATAATTCCTCTGATATCCAAAAAGGTTAGCAACATCATTGCAACCAGTTTGCGAACTTAATTGTCAGACGTATGTTTCTTCGAGGCTTCAGATTTTAGGGTTTTCATATTCTGTAGTGTGATGATTTTGTGTAAAGCTAACACCATATAGCTAAACATTTCTTATTTTCCAAAAAAATGTCTTAAACCAAACCTATTTGCATTTGAATTTATACTTACAATATTTCTATTACCTGCCAGCTAGTTTGTAAGTCAGGTTTTCAAAGGTTCAGAAAAGTGCCTGGTGGGCATGTTGCCGCCTAGGCAGGTAGGAAGGTTTATTTAGGTGTTTGTTGCCCTGCAAACTACTACCAGGAGATAAATTGCACAGCCCTTGGCTAATTGAGGTGTGTCCAGAATATAATTGTTTAAAGAGTAACAAATGTTTGAAGAGGTATGTTGAAACACCAGATCTTTTGCAATTTGGTTTAAGTAATGTTGTAATGTAGAACCTTTGCCTATGATTTTTTGAAGTGATATAAAGTGGAAAGTCAGCAGGAAAAGCCTCCATTCAGAATTCTGCTCTCATTTCCATTTGACAATGTAGAACATACTTAGAGGCTGGATGTAAGGTGTGGCTACAGTGACCAGGAGTAGGAGCCAGATGGAGTGCCCTCAGAGTTTGTAGCTCTTCAAACCAGGCTGAGCCTGTGCTGATGACTGTACTGCCCTTCACCCTACCCCTGAGCCTCTTTGACCGGCTGGCAGATACTGTTGGAGCAGAGCAGTGTAAGGAAGGAGGAAACCTGGGATCTAGTTCCTTCTTTGATAAGGCCTAGGTGTGTGGCTTTTGGCAAGTTACTGACCAGTGACAATTAGTTTCTTATCGGTGAATGAGAGGGTTACACAAGGTCAT